GCTCCCCTGAGGCCCCCAGGACTCAGTGCTCCCCTGGGGCCCCCAGGACTCAGTGCTCCCCTGGGGCCCCCAGGACTCAGGGCTCCCCTGAGGCCCCCAGGACTCAGTGCTCCCCCGGGGCCCCCAGGACTCAGTGCTCCCCCGAGGCCCCCAGGACTCAGGGCTCCCCCNAGGGCGTCCGCCTCCTGAACCCCCTTTTCTGAATCTCAGCAGAGCTGAACAGGAGGGAGGGCGGAGGGAGACGTGTGTGCAGTGAGCAGGATCCCGATTAGACCGAGCAGAGAGGACAGCCCCCCACCCTCACCTCCTGCCGTCTTCATCTCAGAATCTGAGCCCCGGGGGTGCCAGCCCCCTGGCCACTGTCCTGCAGAGGGAAGCATGGCCCCTGGGCACCGCTCTGCTCGGCCCCTGCGCTCCCCTGAGGCCCCCAGGACTCAGTGCTCCCCCTAGGCCCCCAGGACTCAGTGCTCCCCTGGGGCCCCCAGGACTCAGGGCTCCCCTGAGCCCGGGCGTGCAGGGCCCACGGGAGCCGGTGTTTCTCCGCACACGTGCCTATTACTGCTCTTTCTAGGGAGCCTTCGGGCAATTCCTCAAACATAAACCAAGAACTCAGTTTCCACCCTGTGGAGTCAGGGGCAAATGTAAATGTCCTCTTCCTCTGTCCCCGGGCGCAGAGCAAGTCCTTACCTTTGTTCTAGAGAATAACCTGTTTCTGGTAAGTCTTCTTCTCACGCACATTTTCGGTGAGGTTTGTTCATGACCTTGAGGAGCATTTTGACAGCTACCGGGAGAGCTGAGCAAACTTACAGCCTCCTCTAGGAATTGCGCGTCCAGTGTCGCCATTTGTGAGTAAGCTCCGGGGCCCCGTGGCGTTTTCTAAACAGCCGTAAGTGGCCCAAGTCAGCTCCTGGCCTGGGCACGGTCGCCTCATGACCCGTTAGCTCCCTGGGGATTCTCTCCCTCTGGGCTGTCTGTCTGTCGACCCCTCCGGAGGCTGATGAAGCACCGTACCCACCAGTCAAGGGGAATTTCACTTCTTTATGCCAAATTGTACACAACTTTTCTCACTCCAAATTCAATACGACAAAGTGCCAGAGGGAAACGTCCCAGAGCTTCACCTCCGGGAAACGGCGTAATTCACACCCCAAGTCGCGTCAGGGCCGACCCGCCGGGGAATCCCCGTCTCATGTCAAGGGCACCAGTGGCCGCGCCGTCCCAGTGCGCTGCCGGGGTCGTTGGGCTGTGGCGGGGACGCTGTCTCCGTCTGACGACACGTCTCCCCGCAGTTATCTCTGTCCTACTGTGTCGGCGCCTGACACCGTTCCAAAGGCTTCTTGGTTTCAACCACTGGATATTGACCCCACTGAAAAACGACCATCGTCCACGGGCACCTTCTGAATTCAGTGGCTGAGACTTAGAATTTCCTTGCGTGGGCCTCTGGGTTGAGGCTCGGTCGGTAACTTTGGTTGACATCTTGGTTTTTATATCAAAGTGGGGGCAACGGATGGACGTGATTTCCTACTTTGTGCGCTCACTAAATATTATAATTTGGGGGACTTTCTCCGTTTCTTAAAGTTTGAACCAGGACTGTGGACTTCCTTGGTCAGGGCCTTTGATAAACGGGTGTGTGGAGGTTGTCTTTTGGGATAAAAGGTACATGATTAGCCAGCCACCCATGAACTCTTACCAGGCTTTCTAGAGTTTGTCCAAAAGGAGAGAGAAGATGATGGCGTCACCAGCTTCTGAGCACCTGAGCTCACCTGCCTCCATTTACCAAGGTGCCAAGTCTGAGCTCCCCATTGTCCTCTGCACCCCCCTAGAGCCCACAGACAAGACTTTATTCCTAATTGAAGACCAGACTTCACCTTTCAGGGACCTGTCTCCTTATCACCTATTGATGTCAAGTCCCTCTCTCCACACACACGCACACGCACACACACGCACACACACACAGGCACACACACGCACACACACACGCACACAATGTATATATTGATACAGGAAAAATATATGTAG